CAGCAGTGCCACGCAGCCCAGATGTCAGCAAACCATTAATCCCAAGGGACAGACCCCTGGGGTGAGAATCCTGCTGCAACTTCTCCAATTAGACAGCTTACCTCCTGCTTTGCCTCTGCTTTAGCCATTTCAGACCGAACATATTTTATTGTTCAGACTCCTAGTTAAACGGCTGGGAAGCTCTGGATGTAAGCACACATTACTGGTTCAATAATAGAGTCAGGCACGTTGGCTTTACATTGTTTTGCTAATAAAGCTGAAAAATAAAGCTGTTGACTCTTCTTTCATCAGCATCAGCCCCATGAGGCTCTCCCATGTCTCGCCTGGTGATTAGAGCAGAGGACTGGGAACATGGGTCTGGAGTTCAGCCCTTAATGAGCCTCCTGTTCGGTGTGTTTCACTCGGGGCTCTTGACCTCTTTGCACCTCAGCCAACTCAGCTGTAAAACTGGCTGAAGGATGAACCTCGTGGAAACCATCCGTTGTGCCCCAGTTGAGCCTTGAGTCCAGATTCCGTGGGTAAATACAAAATAAAAATCAACAACAATTTGAATCTGCGGTGACCCAGCTCGAATGCCACGAGGACGTCAGGCCTTGCCAGTGTAAACAGTGCTCAGTCTCTGGGGTCCCCCATTACAGTGTCAGAGCAAATCTAAGAGCTATCCCTGCAATTTATGCTGCAGTGAAAGAAAGGTGCTGCAGCCTCCAGCACACACAAGGCAACACAACGTGGTCCCAGCTCCGGTATCCAGGTACATCAGCACCTGCCACACCGAGCAGTACAGTGAAAACTGGGTGCCACGTGCTGAAGGAAGCAAGGTCCCCCTTACTCTCTAAATCTCTGAGCTACCAGACAGCCAACATCTTATCTACAGAGGCCCCTCATGGAGTAGTTGACATGAACCATGCCAAGGACAGCATTAATACTCTCTCACATTAATAAGCCTTAATACTCTCTTACACCATGTCCAAAATGTTTCCAAACTGTCCCGCAGGCAGGATGGCACCTTTGTCAGCACCCATCACTCAGTGCAACAGAAGGAAGTGAAAGGAGGTGCTGGCACAGCTTGTTTGCTGTGTAACACCTTCCAGGTATGAGAGTGATGCTGACGAGAAGCCTCACCACCTCGCCCTGTCCAGTACACACACACATTTACTCACATAAAACACGGTGATTTCTCTCAAAGTTGAGAGCAATTGAGAGCTTTTCCCTCTGAAGTGGGAAGCTGCGGGTCAGAATTTTAGGTGGCACAGAGGAGCCAGAGCTTCCAAGCTGGCATTTAAGGGTGGGGAGCAATGAAGAAGAGAGAGCCACCATGCCTTGGGATTTCAGCAGTGTGGAGGCAATGTGCTCTTTGTCACAGCAGGCTTAGCAAAACTGAGCAAGAAACTGTTTCCAGACAGAGCAAAAGCATCTGGGATCCAGTTAATCCAGTCCTGTGGTAAGGCAATTTGCTCCCAAATGTGCTCTGCACCTTCTCTTACAGTCCTGCACTGTGCAGCCATGCGAAGATAAGACTCCTGACCCAGAAAGCCCTTCCTTGGGCATCAACAAAAATCCCAAGTGTACTTCTCTGTCTATCTTAACATTATCCCACCTTGCACCATGAGGACATACCCAGCCAAGCACAGGCTTGCAAAAGGCTGAGGTTGAGAACTGTCTTTCAAACATACCAGGTACCTACTCCTTATAACCCTAGATGCCCCACAAAGTACCCTTTAGTGACTGGTGAGTGGTAGGTGTGAAGAAGAGGCTGGAATGAAGCATCCTCTGGAGCTGGGAAGGTGGGTATTTGCACAGTATGATCAGGGATCATGCTGGTGGCTGGGTGTGAGCACAAACTTTCAGTGTACAATGGCAATCTCTGTTCTGGTGTAAGGATCCTTTTGCTGAGGATTTTCCATCCCTTGAGGAAAATATGCTAACAGGTTTTAAATAATTAAACAAATCACATTGCAGGCAAACCCAAGTTGATCTTTAAAATGCATTATCTTCATAAGGCATAGAATTGCTCATAGAAATGCTCAGTGCTTTACTCCCTCCTCAGAGCTCTTCCCACATTAACTAATTCATCACACAAGGGACCACCCAGCTGCATCTCCACCACGGAGCAAATGCTGTGCCCGACACCTCCACCTTTAAAACTGTGTTGCCACAGCTGGAGGCCAGGTTTCTTCAGCACCAACAAGCAGAGGCAGTGAGGCAACAAAGCTCTTTTCATCAGGCCAAGTTTGTGCAGAGGACATTACTCCCACAAAGCCACTTGCTGATCCCAGATGGAAGGCATGTTTCCCATGTGGCCACGAGATACTCTGGGGCAGCTGCAGCCACCTCCTTGCAGGAAAGGGGGGTCATGTGTGGTAAGGACCACAAGTTAGGCTTTCCATGGGCATAGGCCAGGAAATTGCTACCTTGAGCATCTCCTCTGGGCCACCGAGGCCATGGACAGTGGAGAGACATTTGGAGGAGAAAGAAGGCAGGAAGCAGAGCAGCTGTAAGGCAGTTCTGTCTACCTAGTATGAGGCTACAGAACATATCTATCTGTCTCTCTGTAAGCTAATTGTTCTTATCCCCCCAACCAGCCCCAAAACTGCCTGATGCCAAGTCCTTGCTGTCCCTGACACACTGTGCAAGGACAGGTGAACAGCTTGAGGCAGCAACCAGAAGGTCTGTCAGCCATGAGAAAGCCTGGCTGGTGAGGAGCAGGGACAACCCATGCCCATCCCCAGCCATCCCCAGTGTCCCCCTAGCCAGGTGTGCTGGGCATTGCCTTTGCACTCACAGGACCCTGTGGAGGACAAACCGGTGAACAAAGGGCACTGCCACCCCTTCTCCAATCAGACAGTTTTCCTGTGGTGGTCTTTGTCACCTCCAGCTCTCCCCCATGCCATGCATGGCTCAGAGCAGATGGGCTATAACTTGTGGAGTTTAAATTATTTGACAGATCCCCTTTTGGGATTTGGGAACACCATGGAAATGGCTGCTCGTGGTGCGGTGGAGCACCTGCGCTGAGGAAGCCCTGAGAATGTGCTGGGCATCCTGGAAGCAGCTGCAGCTGTGAGCCCCAGAGCAGCCAGTTCTAGCCAGCAGCTCACAGTTCCTTCTCCAAACTCCTCTGGAATCCAGGGCCACAGGCTGCCATTCCTCCCTCCATCCCCTGCTCTTCCAAGCTGTCCAAGGTGAAAAGTCCACAGCTTTTCTCGTGCTATTTCTCAAGCATTTGTTCCTCTCAGCAGTCCACACTGGACAGACGTAACCCTACTGCCCCAGGCTTACCAAATAATATCTTTGAGACAGGAGATTTGGCCTCAACCAGGACAAAATTGTCATTGCTAGTGCTTCATTTCATAAGGAAAGTGGAGTCATAGCACTGTCTGCTGGACTTTCCAGCAGGAACTCACCCCTTTCCATGTTCCAGCCTAAGCACAGAGATCCTAAGAGGCAATGCAGCTCTCACAGCCTTCAGTGGGGAACAGAGGCCCTGGTACATCATGGTGGACATGTTGTAATCTCAGTCATTTCTGAGGGCCAGCAGGCTCAAGAAAAGGGTTTTGAAGACAAAAACCCCACAGCACTAAAATTTCTCATGGTTCTTTCACTCTCCTAGGCTTAGTTTATGAAATGAGATGTGAGGGAGGGATTTTGGAAAAAAAAATATTTTTTTAAGGGAAAAGATCTAATCTGGGGAAGAAATATTGTAGATTGGCCAAAAGAAAAAAAAACAAATCCTGATGTAAGAGGCAAAATAATAGAACAGAGAATAGGTGAAAAAGGATTAAATCTGCTGGAATGAACTCCTGCAAAAGTGTCACAGAGGTGATGAAAGCAAAAAAAAAGTTTAAAGTGTTATCAGAAGGGTGAGTAAAATACACAATTCAGGAGATTGGATTTGTGAAAAACATTCTGGTGCTGCCTGTGGGACAACCTCATTGGAAATATTCCCTAAAGTCAGGTCATGAAATTATTAGGAGAGTAGTGCATAGATCGAAAAAAAAAGAAATATAGTTGATTCATGGGTGCTTTTGGGTGAGGAAAAAAAAAAGAAAGTTAGACTCAGCCTTTGCCACAAAGCAAATAGAGACTTAGCAGATTTCTCATCAAAGTATAAAGAAGCCTCTGGGAAAGAAACAGATTGATGCTACCAAGTTGTTTAAGATAATAACTACCTCCAAAGCACAAAGCTGTGGTTGGAGGTTAAGAAAGACAGTAGCCTATGAGCAATTTGCACAGAACAGCTACAAAAGAGACCACATCGTTAAAAGTAGGAATGAAAGCATGTATTGACAGCCAGTTATCTTATTTTATTTCTTTAATTCAAGGAAAACAGAAGGCACAGCCACTAGCTAAATTAAGAAGAATAAGATGAAGACATATGGATAGATGGGAGCCAGCCCTGAGGAAAAACAAATCAGCCTTTAGTGTCCTGGGGTGAGGAAGAGCAAACCGTGACCAGCCATATGTCCTCACCCGACCACAGGAGAGAAGAGGGAGGATCAGGATGAGCAGCATCCTGCACCCAGCACACTTCAGGCCATCCTGGGGCCAGCTTAGCTGCACTGGGATGTGCTGCTGGGGATGTGTCCCAAGCAGGGCAAACAGGGATGCTCATCTTCTCCAGAGAGTAGTATTAGAGCATGGACCTTGCAGGGCTTTCCAGGGAGAATTTCACAGACTATCAGCAAAAGCAATGGTTTTGGTGTTTGAAATGTCATGAGTTGCTGGTCAGAGAAGGGAGGACTGTGTCAGTGGGGGTGGAGAGGAGGAGAAGCGAGCATCCCTGGAGCAGCAGAGTGTCCAAGGACACCACAGAGATGAGAGCTGTGGTGATGACAAACATAGGTGGGTTTTCATCCTTTGGCCTCACTGCCAGCAAGAAACTTCAGAGTTTATCAAAATTTTTAGGCTGTCACAAGTTAAATAACTGGTTTAGAAGCAAAGGAGCTGTAGGAATGGCTTCTGTGAGAAGCTGCCACAAGCTTCCCCAGTGTCCAATATAGCCAATGCCAGCCAGCTCCAAGACAGATGTACCACTGGCCTTGTCCGAGCCCGTCAGGGACAGCAGTAGCACCTCTGGGGTAACAGAGTTAAGAAAGGAGATGAAAAGCTATCAAAACAGCACATGGAGACAGGAGTGAGAATCTGTGAGAGAAACAGCTTTGCAGACACCAAGGTCAATGAAGGAGTGGGAGGGAGTGCTCCAGGAGTAAATGGATGCCAAAAGGAGGCTGTGACCATGTGGGAAGCCCACATGGAGTAGGCTCCTAGCAGCACCTGTGGCCTTATGCAGAAGCCCAGCTGGGGCAGGTTTGCTGGCAGGACTTGTGGCCTCATGGGGGGCCCAGCCTGTTCCTGAAGAACTGCACCCGATAAAGGGACCCAGGCTGGATGTGTTTGTGCAGAACTGCAGCCATGGGAAGTTCTCATGCTGGAGAAGCTCATGGAGAAGCTCAAGACCACCACAGAAAAACTGTCTCCTGTGGGAGGGACCCCACACTGGAGCAGAGGCAGTGTTTGAGGAGTCCTTTCCCTGAGGAGGAAGGAGCAGCAGAGACAACATCTGATGAACTGACCACAGACCCCATTGCTCGTCCCCCTGCACCACTGTGGGAGAGAAGGGAGAAAATGGGGAGTAAGGTTGAGCCTGGAAAGAAGGATGGGGTTGTGGGGAAAATGTTTTTAGGATTTGGTTTAACTTCTCATCATCCTACTTTGATTTGATTGGTACTAAATGAAACTAATCTCACCCTGTCCTTATCTTGACCCATGAGCTTTTTGTTATATTTTCTCTCCCCTGTCCAGCCAAGGAGAGAAGTGATGGAGCTTTGGCAGGCACCTGGCATCCAGCCAGGATCAGCCCACCACAATACCAAAGCCAACATTTTTTCTGTAGGACTTTTTTTTCCCCCAAGGACTTTGATTATTATTGAAGAGACATCAAGTGTGTGGAACCTGAACTGGCACCATGTTATGGTGGTGTAAAGCCATGAAAAAGCAGAGCAGTGAATCAGGTGCCCAGTCTCAGTAACTCTCACAGATTTTCACTCAGGCCATAACGGAGTTCCAACAGCTGTTTAGACCACTTAGAAAATGAGGATGAAATGCATAAGGCACCACAAGTGACTTTCAGAAAGGCAAACAGCATGACCAAATCCTTCTCATTTTTAATATTTCTATTTCTTCTTATAAACTTTTTCTTTAAACTTGAAAATAATGAGAAAATGTGCTTCCTTGAGACAAGCCAGTACTATCAGCTAAACAGCCTCACATTCATTGTAGCACTCCAAGTGCTCTGGAATGCTTTTCAGCCCAGAGGATAATAGTATTAGACGACCAGAAAGGCTGTCCTGTAAAAGACTGTTATTATGATTTCCAGTCTCAGAAGTTGGCTTAATCCAGCTGAGCACACACATGTTATTTAGAGAGGAGACTGAGCTCAGACACTGCTATCACCGTCATCTTTATTGCAAATGAAAGGTTCAGCCAGTGAAAGGCAAGTCACGTTTGTTTTTTTTGTCCTAAGCCCTGCAAACAGTGGCTGTTGCAATCGTCTTTGCACTCTGCAGCGAGAGTCTGGAGCTGCTGAATGCGGAACTGTTTGCACAGATTTGCATCTGCCTAGGAACTTCTGTTTTCTCTCTTGCCACCTAATCAATCAAACGGCAAAAGATGCACTTTCTGCACCCTCCAAGGAAAACAGCTCTGTGCCCGCACAAAAGGCAAAGCATGAGCGCAGGGGTTAACTAGAGGTGGTAAACTGTGAACCCTGTAACAGGAACAGGTTTTTTTCACTGCTTGAAATTTCATGCTGCTCTTCCTCTGTCTGTGGAACAAAAGAAGAGGCAGTGATGCTCTGTATTGGGAAAAAATATAATCTGGGATTGTTCCCTGCATGAGAAAATATGCTTGGAGGATTACTTGGGGAATTTGCACCTTGACTTGGGGAGGAAACGCTGCACAGCTTCTCTCCCAGGGTTTAGGCAGAACAGCTCCCTCCCAAAGGACTGGCTCTCCTACCCACACCTCCCCAGGTGAGCAGGACCCATCTCACACCGCAGCCTGCCAAGGACCAGCAGCCAGGCACCAATCCCTGCAGGTCAGCTTGCAGCTGGCACCACTGCTTGGAATTGCTCGAATCTCCCATACCAAAACCTGCCAGGGCCACTGCTGCCCCATCAGTAGGGTGGGGGTAAGCCTTATGGCCCTATCCTTTTTGCTCCAGGGGGGATATTGCATTTCACCACACAGCACTGGAGTGAAGGCCCCTCCGTGAATGTCCAGCACAGAATTCCACCTATTCAGTCTTGCACTGGTAGTGTCTTTGCTAACAGTCCTTGTCACACTTTTGCAAGACAAAACAGCTCGGCCTCCCTTTGTCCTCCCAAGAAAGGAGCCACTGGGCACTCAGATTCATGGCAGGATGGGAGAGACAGCAGCTTCCTCTCCTTAGTCTCAGGGAAGCAGCTCAAAGAAGCTGAACCCCAGTGAGCAGCAGCTCTTCCTGGGCAAGCACTCCTTCCCTGGCACATTTTCCCATGGGAGACAAGCACAGGGGCCTTAAAATAAATCTGTCTTTTTAAAGCAGTGATGCTAAATGAAGGTTTGAGATCAAAGGCTGGGATTCTCACATTTTGCCAAGATAGACATATCCATTCACGAGATTTTTTGTGCAACAAAATACTTGCTAATGAAGAGGATCATAATCTTATTATTAGCCCGAACTACCACAGCATGTCATTCAAGAGCGGGTTGGAATATGTCCTAGTTTAGGAAGTTGCACAGTGGGCTTTGCTTTTGATTTAATGAGCTGTGATTGTGTTTATTTTCAGCAGCAACTATGCCTGTTAAATTTTGGTTGAAGGTCTGATCGTTAACGACAGTAATCGAAGGAAAGGATGAATTTAGGTTGAAGGGGAAGAAAATGGGAATCATATGTCTTGGGATTCAGTTCCCAAGCAAGCAAACACAAGGTGGTCAGGGGAGCCCGAGCTTTCTCTGCTTTTGCAGTCCTCGATGATGGGTTTTTAACTACTGGTTAAGTCACTTAAGGGGATTCAGACATGAAAAAACAAAGATTTCCGCTGTTACGGAGTGGGGCACAGAGGGCAGTCATATGTAGGCAATCAACAGTGGGGGCCAGATTTTCCTTTTGTGGGATGAGCCATGGTGGGCCAAGGTCATCAGCTGGCTTCCACTATCAAGATCCCAGAAATTCTAAGATGCGGGGGACGTGTCAGTAGTGTGTAACAACTGAACAACCTGCCAGATGAGCAAAATGGAGAAGAAAGGGGAAGAGAAATATAAATAGAGACACATACTTTGAAAAAAAATATTGCTGCAGCAGAGCTGGTCAGTGTAGGCTCTGTTCTGGAGTGAAATGGGGCCCCATTGTGGCAGGGTCTCCCCAGATGAACCCCCCATCACTGCTGCCTGTCTGGGTAACTCGAGCTGGGCCACTGAGCAAGAAGGGCAGGCAGGGCAGGACAGGTCACAACTCAGACCCACCCCCCATCACACTCCTTTTGCAGGTGGTGTTTGTGTCTCTGTTTCCAGCCTTACCAAGGATGCTGTGCTTTGTGTTTGACACCATCAGCCCCAAAGGGATCCAGCACAGTTTCTTTTCCAGCATCAAAGCATGCAGACACAGACACACGCATGTGCGTGTATGTACAGGCAGGACATGAATAAGGGGTGTGAAGCAAACACAGACATGGACAGACAGATGGATAAACACACATAGCTAGCTGTAGCCCTTAAAAGCTTTCCATGTACAGCATTAGAATGAGCCAACAGATGCAGATGAGCATTCCTTCCAGCCAAAATTTATATACCTACTATACCTCAGATATTAAAAAAAAAGCCCAGCTGAGCGTGGTGAGCGACAGGAAACAGAAGAAATCCTAGGGATACATCTACTTCAGGTATAAAGGTGCAAGGTATCCTTATTAAATGAAAAGATGAAATTACCCCCTCACTGCCTCCGCTTAGCCTGCCGCAGGCCTGGGCTCGCTGCTCCCTTTCCCAGGTTGTGCCCAGCCCGGACACGGGGCTCAGCCGGCGGCTGCTGGCTTGTGCCAGGCAGCGAGGTGTTTCGCGGAGCAGTCACCGGCCAGCAGCTTGTCAGCTCCAGCGCCTGTGAATTCCTGTGGCAAGTGTGAAAAATCACTTAACACGTTGTTCTATTTTAAAAGCTGGGTTTTTTCATGACGGCCGTCTGTGTGACGGGGCACCCCTCCTCTCCGCCACGGCGTGCGGGGGATTCGTGTCCCCTACACCCCCGAGCCCCGTGTCCAACACCCCCGAGCTCCTGCTGGGAAGCTGCAGACGAGACCCGGGGCCGATTGGAGGGGACAGCGGTGGGGCGGGAGGGCACAGCCCCGGGGAGCTCCGCCGGCTGCCGGGCAGCTCAAGGGGCTCATTGTGGCCGGGACTGGGCGGTGCTGNGGGCCGGGCCGGCTGCTGAAGGCCGGGGCCGCGGTGCTGATCGCCGGGGCCCTCCTGCTGCTGGCCGGGGCCATCGGCGCCTTCTACTTCTGGAAAGCCACGGAGCGGCAGGTGAGCGGCCGGGCCCACAGCGCGTCCGCACCCGGGGCCCGTGGGCGGGGAGCTCTCGCACGCAGGGAGAGGCACGGGCTGGGAGCGCTTCTTGCGAGGTCTATAAAGAGGTCTTTAAGCAGACCTGTAGGGCTTTTTTCCATGCTTTCAAAAATCCCAAACACCTAAAACCCGCATCCATAATCACTGTCTTTGGTGGCTGTGTGGATGAAGCTTCCTGGAAGCACATTTACACGAAACACATCTTTGAGAGCACAGACTCTACATTGATTTCTGCTCACAAATCCTCAGTGAACTCAAACCCCAACAAGTCCCCAGGGATTCACATCCTGGGCAAACTCCAGCTCTCAGGACAAAGAAAGCATTGAAATGTGTAAATTCTTTTCTCACAACATCTGCATTCTCGGTCCAGATTCTACCTGGACCCTCAAGTATGTAATGATATAATTAACCCATTAACAGGCACCGTTGGTTCTGGTGCTTTGTATGACTGTGCACACGCTTAGGTTTGCAGCTGTGGAGCAGTTTTTAAAGTTTTATTATTTACAGTTTCTGGGGTACACGGGAAACGCTTTATGCAAAGAATGAAACTGAGAAGATGGTGATCAGTTAGAGACCCAAACTTCAGAGCATTAGAACATGCCTACAGATTAACTTTTCTTTCAGTTTACACAGAATTTGTGTTTAAAACATATTTGAAACATGATGGTACATACATATGAATGTAACTTTCTCCATAAATTAAATTAGTACCTTTGAATTTACTTTGGAAGAAGTTTTGTGCTGCCTCCAGTCACACGCCAGCCCTCATCAAGGAGCGCCTTGTGTGAATTCCAGCAGCCAGAGCAAAGGTGGCCCTGTGAGATACACCCCTACACATAGGGATAATTCAGATCATTAGAAAGAAAAGTACAAGGTTTTACAGCAAAAAGACATGACACACTGGTGACCTCCAAGATGTGCTGCAAGAACCATGTGCTTCTCTAGGCTTTTGAAAAGGGAGAGGGATGCATACAGGCAGGGGACAGTGCTTTCAGCTCTGAGCAGGTGGGTGCATTTGTGGAGTACAGGACAGTGCTTCCCTTTGTTAATGCTCCTGTCATCTAAATTCAGCCATACAAAAAATGTCACATTCACAGCTTTCATTAAGCTTCAAAGTTGAGCTGTAGGTGAAGACACTGGGAAAGCTGAGAGTTATTTTTCCAAGCTGCCTTCAAACTCAGAAAGTTTGAACGTGACTTGCGAACATTTAGGAAGCAAGTGCAAAAATTATATCCAAAAAAATAAGGCAATTTTAAAATTCTTGTTTTTATTTTATATCTTTAAATTCTTCCCTAACTGACAGGGGTATCAAAGTCTCAACTCTAGCTCAGCCCCTATCAGGGGGAGACCACATACACTGGTCTAGTCTTATGGACCACCTTCAACAGGAGTCCTAGAAAGCAGAAATATAGGAGTGGCTGTGTATAACTGAAGAACCATAAATCTTTAGCACCTTAGACTTCCCTGAGTGAAGGTGAGAGAAGAAGAAATTTGTCTCTAGCTGTCAGTGTAAGTTTTTCATTAAAATGCTGTAAAGGCTTTAAGACCCAAAATAAACTGCTTGTGCAGCACTTTTAGCAGAGCTGCACAAGAGAATCACAAAACCCCTCCACAGATTGTGGTCTTCCAGCAAATACAAACCACGCTGTAGCTCTCCTCATTGAAAATAGGATAAGGGCAAATACGCTGACAAGGAAAATACGAGACTGTACAACTTCACATCCAATTTAAACAAAGTTCACATCCATTACAAGCTGGGAAGTATGTTCGTATTCGAGAGGAACCTGTTTTCCTGTGCCTCAGCAGAACATCCTAAGAGATAAATAGGGGTTGGCCTCCTTCAGGGAAGGACATTTACATCTGGTGTCCTTTGGGAATGATGCCAGCATAACAAATAATTCCTAAAATGTCCTAGAAGAAGGTTTTTAGGTTAGAGTGAACATGGGTGTGGACTCACCCCGTATCGTAAAACTATAGGCACTCCATGGAAGGGGGATCTCAGGTCTTCAGTCATACCTGATGCTCAGAGCAGGGACAGCTGTGGGGTCAGAGATGGTTGCTCAGGACTTTATCCAGTCAGGCCTTGAAAACTTCCAAGGATGGAGACAGAACAACCACTCAGAGCTGACTGCCCCACTGCCAGCCTGCCCCACTGCCAGCCTGCCCCAACGCTGATGTAGCGCAGTGTTGGTTGTTGGAGGGTTATCAAAGGCCTACAGAAGCAAAATTTAGAAGCTAAATAGGGATATGAGAGTCAGATTGACCCATTGCCTGGTGTAGGAGGGAGGCAATAAGTAATTACTGGCATGTGCTACCGCTCTTTTATTGATTGCAGGTGTACAATGTTCACTATACTATGAGCATTAATGGAAAAGTACAAGATGGATCAATGGAAATAGATGCTGGAAACAACTTAGAGACATTCAAAACAGGAAGTGGGAGTGAAGAGGCTGTTGAAGTCCATGATTTTCAGATCGTAAGTAGTGCCACTCTTGTCCTTCATGTAACACACTCCAGTGCTGGACTCTTAAGGACACCTTGCTCTGCCCTGACTTCTCTGCCCAAGTCGATCTCAGGTTCCAGCCTCCAACCATCCACACAAACATTTTTGCTCTCCTGGCTTGCTTTCACAGGGAGGCAGGCAGTTTCCTCCAAAACAAAAATCTCAGTGCTTTTTGGAGATCAGCCATGCCAGGTACCACTCCAGGAAGTGGTGTGGCTGCATCAGGTTTGGCTCCATGTAAATACTTCGCATTTTCAAACCACCGAGCAGAAGTGTGACATGTGACCTTGGGGTCTTACTAGAAAAACATTGTCAGGCTGTGACACAACCCTCTCATGATTTCATGTGGTTTGAACTGGCAAAAACACCTCCCCCAAACATCCCTGTTTGAGGAGCATAGGGTCAACACAGTAAGCCAAGGAGACACCAAGGAGAGAGCACTCTACAATGCTTGACTTGCAGAGCTTCTTTTGCCCTGAGGTCAAAGATGGGAGCTGCTCTCCACAGCTTGGCCTGGGTTCATCCCTATGGCAGAGGATGGAGGCATTCAGCACAGTTTATGCATCCGTGTACCAAATGCCAGGTGCTGGGCCACTTGGGCTGACAGCAAACACTCTTGGGCATCCCAGAAACTTGTGGCTGCTCAGCACAGAGCCTGGACTAAAGATGCCAAACCTCAGCAGAGCTCAGCAGCTCAGATAGAGTGGGTCTCTGAGCTGCCCTGAGCTACTAAGGCACATCTATATGAGGCTGCAGAAACTCATATACAGGGCACAGATGCTGCAGTTAAATGTTCTCAGGTGCAAAACACTCAACTTCAGAGTTAAGACTTCTGTAAGTCAAAGCAGCACCTAAAATAAAGATGCTGCTGCTAGGAAGCATCTCTGCTTCTGGAGCAGCCACCTTTCCCTTGCTGGATGTAGAAAGGCAAGGAAATCCAGCCTCTTGACTTTTCAACAAGAACAAATCTGTGCCAGGAGATGCTGAACCCCAACTTTCCCAACAGCTGTGGTTCTGCCTTTATGTAACTCTCATTAGCATCGTCATAGCAACATTATTAGCAGCTGAGTAAGAGCATCCACAGCGAGTTCTTCTCACTTGCATTTGCCATTTCACATCTGCACAAAAGCAGCAGTCCACTTGAAAGATGCTGAACTCATTTTGCCTCCATGTGTGTTGCTGGTGAGATACTGCTGGTCACAACCAGGTGACAGATCAGTTCCTAACACCAACCAGCTAAAGGGACCTCCCAGGGATGGTTCCTGCTTGTAATTACAGAGGGCCAGGGGCAACCTCAGCAAAGAGATGATGCCACATGAGTTTTCAGCCAAGAATACACACAAAGGAGGAAGCAGCTGAAGAGATGTGCTTCCAACAGACTGGTATTTACATTAGCAGTTTTGGATTGACTGGCACTGTTGGAATGACTGCATGGTCAGAGAAGGCTTGAATTTGGCAATATTAGGGTATTCCTTGCACATCTGATACACCACAAAGCCTTATGTCCTAATGCACCTATCCTTTCACAGCCATCCCCCCTCTCACTGCTTTTTGTAGCAATTTTGTTTTGAAGGGGGTGTGTCTGGCTACACAGGACCTGCAGACACGCAGGACATGGCTCAAGTGCCCCAGTACCATCCATCTCATGTTGCACTAGATCACAATGTGCTGAGTTGGAAGGGACACACAAGGATCATCGAGTCCAGCTCCTGGCACAGCACTATCCCCAAGTGTCACACCCTGTGCCTGAGAGCATTGTCCAAACACTTCTTGATCTCTGTCAGGCTGGTGCTGTGACCACTTACCTGGGGTGCCTGTTCCAGTGCCCAAACACCCTCTGGGTGAAGAACATTTTCCTGATATCCAACCCAAACCTCCCAGCACAACTTCAGGCCATTCCCTGGGGTCCTGTCACTGTCACTACAGAGTAGAGATCAGTGCCTGCTGCTCCTGTTCCCCTCATGAGGAAGTTGTAACTGCAATGAGGTCTTCCTTCAGTCTCCTCCAGGCTAAACTGACCAAGTGACTTCAGCTGCTCCTCACATGGCTTCCCTTCAAGGCCCTTCACCATCCTTGTTGCCCCCCTTTGGAGACTCCCTAACATTTTAATGTCTTTCTTACACTGTGACAGCCAAAACTGCACACAAAGGCATCCATGATTCCCCTTCAAGGCAGATGAGAGGGGTCATGCTGACACCCACACCCCTTTCTCCTGGCAGCTAGAGGCCAGGCAGAAAACCAGCACAATTTAAAAGGGCACTAGGTAGTTATATTTTGGTGGTTGACTGGAGCTTGTGCAACCACATGAAAAACACAGAAGTTTTGCCATTTATAACCAGGTATCTAAATCTATAATGCAGAAGAGAGCTCTTTCATGGATACCCAAAAACCTACAGTAGAAAGGTAGAAACTACAGACATAGCAAAATGTCGATGCCCGAGGTCCTGGCACAGGGCTGGAAAGTACGTCCCAGGACTTACAGGAGACTTGTCCCTTCTCTTGCTTAAAACTATACATCTATGGTTTATGCAATTGCATTTCACCCTAGTAGGCCAGACAAAGTCCCACACACAGATTTCTGCACCAAATTGCTCATCACAAATTTCCCTTTGCTGTCAGTCACTTATTTGTACAAACTGAACCAAGCTGCCCCCACATTCTTGTAAAACTGTGTCACAAGGGTGCCACACCACCAACTAACACAATTTCAAGACTGCCTATGTTAGGTGCTAAATTACAGTTCAAATCATGTCAACTACTTCCTTAACAGAGCTACTCCAAGTAGCCTACAGCGTGCATGGAAGCACTTACATAAAACACCCCCCTCTCAGAAATCAAGGAAAAACTTCTAGACCAGTTCGACCAAAATTGTTAAGCTGAAGCAATGAACGAAGAGCGTTTTATTGCTTCTGGTTTTAAATAAGATTAACCTTCAGACTGAAAATTCAGTGGCAATTTTAGCAGAGCTGAGGCACTGTCTTGGAGGTGGTGAGGAGCTGGAGGGCTGTGCACAACCCCCTGCCTTCTGCTTTTACAGGGCATAACTGGGATCCGTTTTGCTGAAGGAGAGAAGTGTTACATCAAAGCTCAGCCAAAAGCTCACATCCCTGAAGTTGATGCTATGGCTAAAGTGAGCCTCTCATCTGAGCTGGTAAGGGGGGTAGTTTGTTGGGGGTTTTTTTAATTAATCTTTGTACAGAGAGAGCCTAAAGAAGGTACTTAAATACAAATAAAAATGGCATTTGAAAGCCACTCTGGCTCCTGGTAGGGTTGTTGAACATAGGGTAGGATAGCTGAGGATTCATTGACTGGTTGCAAGGAGTCTTTGAAAGGTAAGAAAAACAAGATTGGTCAGACATTGTCACTGTGTCCAGGGACATTGTAAAAAGCTGCAGATTAGTGAGTGGGTGAGGAAGCCACAGGAGACCTCCATGACAAGAGCACCTGCCTGAGACCAAGGCTGAAAGGGAAGCCACAGAAGAAGCAGCTACTCTAGTCAATGCAAAGAAGGACTCTGGTAGATCCCAGCAGATTTCTATCAATGGTCTTGAGCAGAAGCACAAACTCCATCACTAGTCAGTAAAAGGGAATTGTGGAAAACATGGCCAAAATTAAAATAACTCAGAAGAAATAATTTATTTTAAAAAATAGGACTTTTCCTTCTTAGCATAAAACTTAATTTTACATGTTAACTACATTTCATATTTGCATCACAACCAGCATAGAAGCTGCAGATACCACCAAACCTCCTCACATTTGCCCAAAAAGCCGATTGCTTTATGTGCTCAAAGCCTGAGTTTCCCAGACCCCCAAACTCATTGATCACACAGGAGTGGCTCCAGTGACTTGAGTCCAGCTGTGCCTGGATGCTGCTGGGGGTTCAGTCACTGCCAGGATAACCCAGGAGATCCACAGCCCCTTTCTCTGGGTTTGCTCTGCTCCTGGGAGAATAAAAGCAGATACAATTAGCTGGGAGAGAGGCGCTGTTAAGGCTTCACCTCCTTACAGTGGTGCTGTGACTACTGAACATCTGCTTTAAAATGAAGGGGAAGAAGATCTCTCCTAATAGAATCAGAAGGGCTGAATCTTTTTATAAAAACAAAGTCACAGACCTGAAGACATCATCCTAAACAATCGAAAAGTTATTTATAATTCTACCTGGTGACAGTAAAACTATTTCCTTGTCCTGTTTTTTGTTCATCTTTTCCAAAGACGCATCACCTGTGACTGTTGCAATGAATCGCACGCACCAAGCAGCTGCCTTGGTGTTACCACTAAGATGTTAACTTTTCCCTGTCACTTGATTTTCCAGGCCAGATGTACTACAGGAATGGCAAAGTAGCATTTATTTTTCTAGGCCAAGTCATGTCTCTGATATGGAAGTATTTAGGAGAAAGTATTCATGTGCCATTTTCCTACAATGGGTATCATAACAATACTGCCTACAAAAATTGTTGAGTAAAATGAGTTTTATAGATACCCAAGTTCTCGCTGCTCACAGGTCAGGATCATTTCAAACAGAAACAAAGGATATTTTTATTTCTGAAAATTAGATTTAGATATTTATGATGTTGATAAAAGCTTAAGTGGGAGAATATAAATAAAGAGCAGTAGACAGATTGGATAGCAAACTTAAATGACTTTAGACCTACAAAATAAATCAATAAACACACCAAAGAAACAACAACTCAAGGGAATAAATTGATCTAGTCAGTTACATAACAAGACTTGATGACTTTTATGAAAGCAATTTAGAATTTTAACTTTGAAATCATGCTGGTTTTCATGATTCAAAAGTTAGTTTTCTTTTAATATTTCACCGTTGCTATAAAATACTTACACATTTTATGTAAAATAATACTTTGAACTAACAACTTTAAAGAATCAATCACTGGCATTTTCCTACACTACTTTGAAGATACGAACCAAAAACCTGCAGGGTACACTTCAAAAAGGCAGGCTCCTTTAACTTGCACTTCAAGCTTTTGGTCAATTGAATTGCTTTTACCAAACAAGACCTTTAATCAGACGGATCACATTGACATAAAACTGGAAGCTGGAGCAGTTCTCAAGCTATAATCCTCTCTAAAACTTTTGAACACCCCTCACCCCCCCTACACACATTGTAAATACAGTTATATATTGGGAGTATGTTAAATGAGAACAGGGCGTAAGAAAAGATGAGGGGCTTGGGTTTTGCTGGTATTTCACTGCTGCTTTGCTGAAGGTGGTAGGTCTTTGGTTTCTACTACCTGAAATTCTGGTGCTTTGGGCTGAAAGATCTGACACCCAGCCCTCATGCATGGGGCAGAAGCCTTCCAGGAGTGAGATGGGTGAAATCATAGCCCCAGCAAAGCTGACAGTAGCTTTGCCCTTCACTTCAGTGGTGGCAGCCTTTCCCCGGGCTTTGGCTCAGCACAGTCCATTCACATTCATGACATGGAAGGATGCTCGGTATTAGTTGCAGCGGATAATTATACAGTTTGGTGCTCAAGAATTAACAGCAAGCAGGCACATGACTGCTCACTGAGCAGCAAAGGATTTATGCTCTTCTATTTGCAGGAAGATGAAATCATGCCTGTGAGATTTGACAAAAACTCCCTTATCTGGGTGGCTGCAGATGAGCCTATCAAGCATAACAGCTTCCTAAGCCCCAAAATTTTAGAGCTTTGCAGGGATCTTCCAATTTTCTGGCTGCGACCAACATATCCTAAAGGTAACATTTCTTTTATTTGAAAAGTATGTTATCCCTCCCTTCATCTTAACGCCTTCCCTCCATCAGGTTTGCTACTGAAACTAGCACATCTGGGAAACCAGACTCCTTTCCTCCTGTGCCCACGCCTTCCTGGGCTTTTGCCAAGATTGTGGGTTTGGAGTTTATCCCCTAGATGGATTCCATCCTTCTATTTACTCAATTTGCATAGCCTGAGTGGGTGACTTGCTAGGAGATGAAACATTTCCAGAGAGGTCAGCCTCCTTTTAGAGAGGGACAAGACAACAGCTTAAACTAGCCCCCCAGTGTGTAGGCAGCTGACACCAGGTATAAGAATCCTGGCCAGGAACTGGGGACCATAGCCTGTCCTGTTTTCTACCCTGCTTCCCCAGAAGAACTCAGCAAAGTGGAAGGAAGATGCTTTAAGCCAGCCAGCTGGTTTATGGGTGCTGGGGCAATCCCAGCTCTGAACTTGGAGCCTATAGGCAAGCTTAGCAAAGGTGTTCAGGAGTCACCAGGAAGATGGCAACTCCACCAGGTAACTTCCAAGGAGGAGAGAAGACTCAAAAATATTTATTCCTCCTTGGTCCAGTTAATATCAGAGCACTTGGGTGGGACAACACATGTGAAAAAAAAATTTACCACATTTTAGAGCACCTGTGGATCCAAGTTACCCAATATTTTACTTCATGATCTTCCATGTCCCACTGGGCAACAAAATAGCAGTATCAAAGCTATCTAGAACCAGATGTTCTTGAGAGCAGGGCACCATCCCACCATAAAAGCATTTTTGAAAAGAGATGTGTACAGCTGGTCTTGCTAGTGCTGGAAACTGTTGCTGGGTTAGTATCAGTGACTACAGGCTGGGTCAAAAAAACCCCAACAAATCCCCTCACACACATTTTGCTTCAAGGAGAGGAGGGAGCGGGGAAAAGCAATCACACTGCTTTGGACTGGCATTGGCTGCAAACACAATGTAGGAAGCTCCCATGGCAATGCACATCAAGTTTGCCAAAGCAGTTTTGGCTTTCTCTCTGCCCTCCATCCTCTCATTTTTTTAACAGTTGCAGAAATCACTGAAATATTAGGTAAGTACAAGGACACACTCAAAATTGTCCTCCGGTGATTATTTCTTCAGATAACCAAAGGAGAGAAATGAAGAGGAACAAGCGCCAATCAGAACGAAACTTTGACGAGGAAGACTTGGAAGCTGCTTCTGAAGAAGTAAACCCCAGGTCACGCACCGTGCAGCTGACTCAAGAGCTTGGCCACCAGGCTAATGAAACCAGGCCAATGGCACAAGAAACTGATCAAACATTTAATCCAGACAACCCATACAATGTAAGTATTTGCGCTGTAATCTTCTTTCAGAGCCCGGGACTGTGTTGGACAGGTAACACTTGTAATGTGGGGCTTGTCTTTTATTTTTTTCCTTAATCTGCCTAATCTTTGCTTGTTCAGCTTTTCTAGGAAATAACAGACCAGTAAAACACTTAAGAAGCTAAAAAATGTCTTCCCTCTGTCCTCTTCTTCCAGTTTGCATTTGATTTCAAGCACAAATGCTTGAGGTCACAAGGTTAAGGCAAGTTGATGCCAAATTGCTTTTTGAGGTTTCCAGATCTATATGGAAACAGCACTGGAGATCTGACAAGGGTAGCATCTTCTAGAAACAAACCAAAGCTGGTCTTGATCAGACAGCTGAGACCCATCAATTACTATGTGAAGAGAGTCCAGTAGCTAGAAACGTGCTTTGCTCTCAAACAGAAATTAGCACCAGACACGACTGCTGCAAGGGAACACAGCAGAAGTGTCTGGCTGCAAAGAGATAAAGGTCCAGCCAAATCATTTTCTTTCTCATGCTCTTCTCTGTGAAGGTAAGCAACCCTAGACTAGCAAGAACCTGACAGAGAAGAATCTGTTTTGAGACAGCAGCAGTGGGTGGAGGATGACTGTCATAAAACTTGTTCTCACCCTTCAAGAAGCAGCAGCCCCCCGAAAGAGCAGAGGAGCCACCCCGCTGTTTCCCAACACCTCAGCCGTGCTGCAGGAACACTGGCTGTGCAGGAGGCACCTTCTAGTCTGCTGCACCAGTGCCAGACAATTTACACCCACCATTTGGTGCAGCAGGAGTAAGTCATTTTAATACAACACTGTCACAAGATAAATGCCTCCTGCTTTGGAAGTAAGTCCCAGCTTTGACTTGACATTTATGCAACAGCAGGAGATCATTATACTGTGACAGCATTCTGCCAAGTTGACATCCCTTAATTAAACTTAAATTAATCACTCCAAATAAAGTGGATTTAAATCGACTCTCTCACGAGGTCAGTAAAACAGCAGTGGCACTGGAATGTAGCTTCTCCTCACAGCTACTAACGTGACCATCTCCATGGTGTCAGAGCTGCTCTGCCTCTGGAGGCAGAACAACTGCCACAGGTCTGCTCTTCCAGCCCGAGGGCAGCTGGGCCAAATGGAGAACGGCCAGACAGATGCAGCCATCAGACTTCCCTCAGCCGGCAGGGTGGGATTCGCCTCCGCCAGCAGCTACTGCACCGATGCCTATTGCCAGGCTTTCTTAGAGACTGAGCCATTGGACTGACAAGGACCATTAATTATGCTCTAGGCCTTTCCTGAAGGTTGTAATGAATCCTCCCTAGAGCTATTCCTCTTTACTCACTCTAAGTGGAGCCTGGACGATAAGCTGAGGTGATGTTCATGGTGCAGCTATCTGAATTCAAGGATGATGAATCCCAACAAAGAAAACATCTTCCCTGCTCTCAGGACTGGAAAGAGTTGCTGGGATCCCTAAAACCACCCAGCTGTCACTAGTGTCCTGTACAAGCCCAGACAAAGGGTGGCACCTTTCTGTGTCACTTTTTTTGTTGTGCTGCTACTTCTCAAAAAGGAATGAAAAATGCTCAGGTGAAAAGCTAACGGGTACTTCAGCATTTGTGCATTACTGCTGCTTTTCTTGAAATAACACCAATGGGCAAAGAACAACCCAAGTTTCCAAAAGCAGAGTATCCGGTTACCTTTTTTTCACAGAAATGAGGAAAGGAATTTTGAAGGGTAAAGGCATTTAGGTATTTTGTGCATGCTTTGTTCCGTTTAACTCCTTACTGTCAGCTACAGAACAGGCAGAATTCTCACTGTCCATGATGCCCTTTGGTGTGGCAGGGTGGGAAGGAAAGAACCACACTGAGAGATAAGAGCCAAATCCTCAGAAAACTGCAGGGGACCAGAGGAAAAATTTCCTAAAAATGCTGTAAAAAGCATTAAAATACAGAAACTGAAACTCATAATAAAAATCACACCATACATTTCAAGAATCCTCAATTACATGAAAGATTCAGGTAACTGTCTTGAAATCTTTTCCATCACTAATATTTAAAGTTTGGGAGGAGCTTACTGTTGCTGGAGCTTTTGCAAGGACTGTAGAATAAAAATAATGAAATTAGAGCTGCCTGTTTTTCTTTCCATTTTATAAGGGTGATGGCACCAATTCTATGCTTCTGCCAAACAGAACAAGACAAAATTAAAAATAATCAAGCAAGATACACGGGTCACTAAGTGGGAGTTTTGTCAACTTCCACAGGCCCAAGACTACAGGTTTTACCCTTTGTGGGGTTAACAGGAGCAAGGATGTATTCTGCTATTCCATAAGAATGAGAGCACCGGGATGACATTTAATATTTTACATTCCAGCAGCTGGAAGGGGAAGGGATGTCTTTTGACCCCATGCTGGATCACCTGGGCGTGTGCTGCATTGAGTGCCGGCGAAGTTACACCCAGTGCCAGCGGATCTGCGAGCCCCTCATGGGCTACCACCCGTGGCCTTACAACTACCAGGGCTGCCGCACCGCCTGCCGCATCATCATGCCCTGCAGCTGGTGGGTTGCGCGTATCATGGGCGTCGTGTGAGAAAATCCCTTGACCAAAAAAAGGCAAAGGAAAACCAAAACTGGAACCTTGACAAAATAAGCAGGAATACAATGAACTGGTAAGACTAAAACCAAAGCAGCGGTACCAATCCCGCCTTAAAAAATCAGAACTTGTTTTTCTGCACCAAAAGCAAGGTCAGATATTCCAACTGCAAATAAAAATCTCAATTTAATATTCCATTAGCTTTAGCAGAGGCAAGGGTATACTAGCACTTGCTGAATTAAAAAACTGAGACATCCCAAAAAAAGACAATATTAAACTTTGCTCAGAATTGGTTTAGCAGTCCAGAAGCTTGCCCTGTAAATTCAGCCTTTCAAAACGAACTCCTCTCTTTCCAAGCTATATATGAAAATTTACATCCAATTAAGCAACTAGCTCAACTTGTACACGCGGGAGTGCCTTTAATCCACGTAGCTTACTTAAATAAAACACAAGTTAAGTTGCTCCCCGTTGCTATTCAGTTGTTGCTATCCAGTTGCTATTCAGAGTTGCCGGGTCATTATGAATGGTTATAAAGCAATTACAGCATACCTTTCCCACAAAGCTGCTCCAGGGGACACGGGAAAGCACACATTGTGCTAAATCGGAAACAAACAGCAGGAAAAGGGGCTGTAGAAGGGAATGTGCGTGGCTGCAGAATCAAAACCCTTTGCACATCCCAACATCAAAGAAGCCCCAGCATCAAGAATCCTGTATCCATGATACTACTGTAGTGTCTAACAAGTATCTGCTATCCAGCTACTACAGCAAAAGTATTTACATGCAGTTGCAGACCAAGGAGTCTCAAGACCCTTCAGAATCTACAACAGCCACTGTTATTTATAAATCCTTGAACTAGACACTTTTGACACAAGATTACAACCCTGCTTTATTTCTCATGGATAACAGCCATTCACACCAGTTCCTTTAGCTTTGCTGAAACTCACATCCCTTCTCCACAAGAGAAATTGTTTACCAAAGGGAGGGGAAAAAAAAGAAAGCTTTTTTTTATTTCCTCACCTCACCCTTTTTGCTGAGGCAAATTCTGCAATTATTTGGATTGATTCCATTACACATTAAATCTGTAAGGTAGGTATTAAGCTGAAACACTCAGAGGTGGAACAACTTAATATTTCTAGCCTTGAAAAACAAAAATAGCAGTATTACACTGCCTTTATCCATACTATGCATCTTGAACCCTACCACTGAGTTTATGGAGCCATCTACATCATCTTTATTAGCAAAATGGTTCAATTTTTCTTAAAGTTTGCTTTCTGGAGCACTCATTTTTGTGACTAAACAGCTCTTGAGATGTTGCAAGCCCAGTAATGTTATTAACACTGTGTGACACGCAGAAAAGAGGAATTAATTTGACATAATCGTGGCTTAAAGAAAATAAAGACAACTTCATGTGGAATGCTAAACTGCATATCTAAAAAGCAAAGTATTAAAGGAGAATAAGATGAGAATAGAATTCAGTATTTTGTTCTATTGTAGCTTTTTAGTATAAACTTCACCTTCTCTTAATCTGAAGGACAGACTTGCTTTGAAATATTTAAATTATAAACTTCTTAAAGTGGGATTTCAAGGCCTGTTACATTTGAGTTTCTGCTTTTTAAACTGAAAGTGACCTTGATCATTATGTTGTTTTAGAAGTACGTCTATCATATGCTTAGAAAAGTCAGTTTTCCTTTTTTTTTTTTTACTGCAGATTAAACAAACACATTAAAAAACCCCAGTTGCTTTCTGTGCTTTTTTCAATGTAGAAGGTGTAACAATTCTTTCACATACTCGTTCAAGAACTGTCTGAAGAGGAAAAGAAGGGCATCAGCAAGTGAAACACTGGAGGCAAAGAGAGAGAAATGTGACTAACTATATGTCTGAACTAGACTGTTGCTCTCCCTTGCATCTTGAGCCAACCTGTCATCTGCTTCTGTGTCCCCCAATAAAAGAAACATCCATTTTCTGAAGACAAAAAAAGAAACTTTGTTGTAGGTGATTTTCATGTCTACACATGCTTAAAAAAATTAATTTTTCCTGAACAAAAGCTTGTAATCATTTGCTTCCTAAAGGCAGTCACAAAGCATGTAAGAAGTAAAAAAAGCATCCTTCTCATGGATATAGAGCTGTCACACAGGCATGTACGTCTCAAGAACACATCTGTACACACCGTGACACAAAAGCCCCAATGACCATAACATTTATCTATTTCCAAAAGATAGGTAACAAAATGCCTTCTCCAACTCAAGCTTCAAGCAAGCAAATTCCTGTTTACCTTCATTTCTGATTCAAAGAGAGAAAAGTAAAGATCTCGTGCTGCAGCAAGGTTGGAAAAAAATCCTACTTCAGCATAACATCTGATTTTGAAGGAAAAGTTCTGAGGCAACACAGGGATGGCAGTAAAACCAAAAAGCCAACGGTGTGAAAAGATGTTGTGATATTCCCTGCAGCTGTGGCTCAGACTCCAACTCTAACAACCCACAGTGATCCTTCCACTACTGTACAGTATTTATCACCAGTGTCGAAGTTTCTCGCTGCCATCACTCACGCAATACCGTGGCATGCTGAAGAGGTTACAACACCTCAGCATTTGGGAAGTATGGAGCAGGGTGTTCCTTCAATCTGACCCTGGGCCAGATTTTTCAGCAGAGAACAGCTGAAAGCCTTCCTCTGGCCAAAGCTTAGGGATGGAGAAGAGGAATGAGTTTGTCATCAACAGTGTCTCCCACCACAGGTGCGTGGATGTTTGTCACAGCACTGCAGTTCTACTATCCTTAACACTTAATTACCCATTTTACTAGGAGGATTAGAATGGCAGAGCAGATTACATCAGAAAAAGGGGATAAATTCAGGCTGATGAAAAAGAGATGGAAAACAGGGAGCAATCCCATGTGGTGAAATAGATTGAAAGCCAGTGATATGAAGGCAGGAGGAATCTTTTTTCTAAATCTAGAGTTCCCTTTCTCCCCACTTATAAACAAATAAATCCACTGTCCTTTTTCATACAGGAATCATCCTCCACTCATACCTACACTGAGAAAGCAAAAAGAACCTGGGAGGCATGGAAGGGGGGCGATCTGGCTTCTACCTTCCATGTAACATTTCACCCATACTGCAGCAGAAAAAAAAATCCAAGGAAGTTTCAATGAAGAACAGACTAATCACTTTTTCCATGCAGTGCATGTGAAGCATAAAACTACAGTTGGCGATGATCTGATTGCTGATTGACATGTCTGGGTGGACAGAATCTCTGCTCAGAAAGGGCAAAAGAGAGACTGAACCAAGAGCACCATCTTCTGCTTCCGAGAGGCTCAGCTGGCCTTTTACAAACACAGATCTACAAACTGGTCTTTCACAAGGACATATACCAAAAATGAGAGAGGCAGCCTTAACCTGCAGCAGGCATCTTCCCGAGAGCAGGAGCAGAGAGCAATCCCATCCATGGTATTAAATGGGAACTGTTAACATCTTGCTGTCCTATTCCAGTATTTGCATCAGTACAAATCAGAGCACTGAGCTGAAACTGCCTCAGTCTACAGACGACCAAAAGGCTTGGGAAAAAAAACCCTCAAGCAGTTTGAACACAATTGAAACATCATCCACTCTTGTCCTTGTAGGCAGTTCTCTTCCTTCAGCCAACTCATTATCAATACTGCTACATATTCCACTCACCCTCTCCAGTCCCAAAGGACATTTTCTTTGTCACTGGCTTTTTTCAGAGCCTCTATTCAATGCCCAAGCTACTGCTAGCATTCTCTTGATCAGCAGCTTCTAGTACCATTTTGTGTGTGGGTGTTTTAACACGAACAAAATACGCTGTTCACGAAGTTCATGAAGCACCTTCCCTTCAGCTTTCTAAGGAAATTTTGCCTGCTGATTTAATCCAATCCTCTCCAAACAAAAGAACCCCCACACACATTCCCTCTGCCCATAAGGCAACAGGACCTACCATTATTGATTAACCTAAACTTGAAGGAGAAACACACACAGATTATCTGCCTGTGCTCAGAAACATGCTGGAATTACGTCTAGACCTGCAAACTTGGTTTACAGGATTGAGATGGACAGGGAGCTCTACCACTTGATTGCTACAAGTTTTAGCCTGAAGCTAAAGCATTATATTTGCATTACATATGCCTCAAGAGTATGTAAGTAGCAATGCTTTTTATTTTACTTTTTGCCTTAAGCTAAGTGAATTGAATCTCAAAGCAGTGAAACAGTACCCACTTAATACAAGAATATATATTGTGTTTATCTGACATAATACTCCCATGGTCTTTTAGTAAGTGAAAGACAGAGGAACCTCTGCAATGTTCTCTTCTGTAAGTAAGAGCAATCTGACTGGCAGAAAACATCTTCAAATTACTTTTTAATTTCTATTTAAGAGATTTTTACCTAGGCTTTTCCCCACAGCAAGCCTTTGCTAAGTTCTGTTAAGTACTCTGAATGACATTTATAAAGCAAGGCTGGCCAAGAGACAAGAACCCAATTTTGTGACAAAGTGAAGCACTCAGACATTTGTCTTCCTTCTACATTAAAAACTAAGAAATGCTTTTGCGCATAAATAAAAAGCAGCAAAGCACTTATCTGGGAGAATGGAGTTCAAGTACCTATTCCAAATCAAATCAACTCCGATGTTAGTATCCCATATGGATGGGCAAATGCTCTACATATCAAGCAACCAGCTACTCAGAATTCTCTGAAGGTCAAGAAAAGCCTCACACCAAAGCTAAAAAATCTTCACTGAAACATGTCCAAAGTATCTGCTTTGAGAAACTCTTCCAAGAAGCAGACACTGTTCAGTAAATATCAAGAAGTAAGGCACACAAAACCCTTCCTTAAATCCAGTCCACCCTGGTTCATTGCATTCAAAGAGCAGGGTAACATTCAGTTGTGAAGGTTATCAAATTTGAGCTTTGGAAAACATGTATCAATTCCGAATCCAGAACTAATGCAAAAGAAAACACTGCCCAGCCTGCACTGCAGGATAACCATGATCTCAGTGCATCAAGAAACTGCAATTATGTCAAGACTTGTAGTCATAGTCTACCTCCAAAAAAACCCCTCTTTTTTTTAACATTTGTGGGATTTTAAAGTCTTGGTACCTCTTTACTGCACAGGCTGAGTAACAATAGTGGGAAAAAAACCACTGCACTTTCCCAGCATCACTGTAAAATCTACGTTCCTATTCCTCCGGAGGAACAGAATATATCCTTCTTTCCTCCTCTTTAATTTTCAATCATCATTTAATACCTAACAGCTGCAGACTTCACTCATCCTATTAAAAACACCTGTTCTAACAGCCTTTCTATTTTACCAAGCTCATCCAATTGACACTGTAGGAAAATAACACATCCAATACAAAGACAACAGGCAGAATAACAAACAATTGGGAAAAACCCACATAATTAGGAAAGCAAGGAAAAGTAGCAAACTTGAAACAGCATCCAATGGTTCACAAGGAATGAAGTGGCTTTCATGGTGCTGTCAATATTTGCAATTCATGGTGTTTCTATGATGACAGAACATTTGGCTACGTCTGAATTCCCAAGAGACAGTGGCACACGGACAAGGCACGTTTCGCACAACTTTCATCTCTCATGGAATCACAGAAGGGCTGAGGTTGGAAGGTAGCCCTGGAAGTGGACTCCCACTCAAAAAGGGGGATCTCGAGCCAGATGCCCAGGAGCATATCCAGATGGCTTCTGAGCATCTCTAGCTCCCGGCAAACTTGTATTCGGGAAGTACAAGCACAGACAGTAAACAGATTCTAAATTATTTTTCTTTTTCTCTATTGTTATTTACAATTTGTTCGTGACAATAAAGCTGCAGTGATGGAAACAATTAAGGACATACAAGTTGTTCTTTACAGTTTCTAGTAATCAAAAATCATATAACTTAAAGCAACTGCTTTCTGGCTTTGATTCCAGGTAAATTTATTTTGAATTTAGAAGGTAGACCGAGGACCTACTTTTCTATAAAAATTTCCAGTCACAACAAATTTGCTATCTTCCGTGACTGTGACTACAGTTCAACTTATCACACAGGTGGAAGGACTTCCAAAGTGGAGTGTTGTGTCTGCATCAAGCATAGTAATCTCATCCTCCTCACTGACTGCACATTTTGCTCCTATACATGCCAGCTTTTCATTTGAGGCAGTACATTCACATCCTTACCTTATCCTTACCTATATGCTTTAAGTGATTCCCCTATCAAAAAACAATACTAAAAATGAAATAAAGCAACTTCCTTATAGAAAAAGTTGTATTTACAGTTTTATTTAGCAGAGTTAAGAAGCAACCAATTTTAACACTGTTGTGCAAAGTATTTTTACCCAAAATTGCCAAGATCTAATAAGTTATTGAACAGAAATACCAGGTGTAAGGCAATAATCCTGACCAGCCATTAGAGATCACCCTATCCCAAAGAGCAGAGCTGATAAAGGTGGTAGAAAATTTGGACTGATGGACTCAA